CCCTCAAGCAACGAGCACGGATCATGGTGGGCCTCGAACATCCGACCTTTCGATTGAGAGGCGGAGACGTAACCACTTACAACTTAAATCTCAAGCAGTCCGCAAACAAAGAAAAAACGAAATTGCAATCTTCCCTTTGTCTCGCGTTAATATCAGCTTTGACCGATCGAAAAGCCTCTTCTTTAGTTCAGCTTATTAATTGCGGAGGGTTTGTTTGTTTTTTGCGTTCAATCTTCAGTAGCAGATGCAGGCATTTTTGCTTTCCAAGATGGATCGTGAGCGATTGCTACCTGCGCTACAGGTATCTCACTTGGAGTTGTATTCTCTTTCAGTTTGTGGTTAACAGAAACTGACATGCACAGGCTTTCTGCAGAAAAAGAGTTTTTTTGCCTGAAAAGGCGGAAGACCCAGCAGGTTAGTACTGTCTTTATTCACAGAATCTGCTGACTGCGACTTAATCTTAGCAGCTCTGTTTTTTCGTAAAACTGAAGGTTGTAATAGACCTGCAATTTTTTAGTCAATCGAAAACTCTGCCAATTAAATTGCTGCCAAAACTATAACAAAGTAAGACTTTGAAGAGCGCAACAAAGTTTAAGAATGGTATAACCTCTAAAAATTGAGCAATACTGTTTTTTTTTTAAAATCATATTTTAAATTGTGTAACTAACCATTTTTGGCTATCAAATGAACCTACATTTTTAATAAGAAATTGAGAAGATTACACCCCTCGTAAAACTTAATGGGCTTTTCAAGAGGCTTACTTTGATATAGTATGGTGAGCAATTGAAACGAGTTTAGGCGTATTTTTCCTTGACTCAGGATGGAAAGAATAATTCTCGTTTGAGATGAAGTTTTGGGCCTGAACTTTGCAAAAAAACAATTGCACCATAATAACTCTGCACCATAATAAATTTCAAAGAAAGTTTTTTTTTCATCACTTTTTGTTTCAATTATTTTAAGTTTCATCACAATTATTTTAAGTTTCAAGTTATAATCATTTTGTCCGGATTATTTAAATTAGCACTAAACTAACACTACAAAAAGTAGGGCAAAAAGAATTACTATAAACAAAAACTGTTTGGCAAATTGGCCACAGCTTCTACCGAGAACCATTGGCATATTTCCAATGTGTTCTCTGTTCCTTTTTTAACGCTTTAATCGCGCTTTGGGGTTTTCAAATTTTTTCTCCTTTCTGTTTTTTCTCCTTTCTGTAGTCAACTTCAAACTCTGGTTTAAAGTTTGCTCAATCACTCTAGTATCAAAAGCAATTGTGAAAACGAGATTTTCGAAGATATTAAATATTATACAGGAAAAATCTTACCATTTAGTTAGATTCGGGATCTCTTTCGGTCCAGGAGTTCACTTTGCTTTCCGAAGAAGCAGCATCACAAATGAATTGGATCTGTATGCAGTCTTTTCACGTCCCTAGATAGCATGCTACGCAATTTAATTTTATTTATTTCTGCAAAAGTAATAATGATGTTTCAAATGAATCAATGGACTCATTACACTTTCTGAACCCAAAATAACGGATTCTCATCCTTTGTGTGGAAAGAAGGGTTCTATTATGATTAATGGTGGGGTTTGTTATAGGTCTATATTTCTTTCAATCAGTTATCTTTATCTTAAGAGCAGTCGGAGTAAGGCCAATTGGCACCCGGATTAAATAGCAGATATAAAAACATTTTCATGAGGTGGAATTATTCAAATAAAAGTAGAGCTAAACGAGCATTGAATCGGTTTTTTTCATCGATCCTTCATCATGATCCATTGCTCTTTTATATTGAAATGAGCGTTTCTTGTTTTCTATATGCATCATTACTGGGTAGCTAATTGAGCAAACTTCTCAGGATTGTGAAATCCATGAACGTTTCCTCTGTAATTATCTGAAAGTCAGGAAACGTTCGTTTTGTAAGGGCCTTTCAATATGATAGTACAAATTAAAAATTTTCTATTATTCAACCATAAAATTCTAAGTGCGGAACATTTTAACCACCTTGGAGCGGTATTAAGAAGCTCATGTAGACAACTGCTACTCACATGATTCAGAGTATTTTCATCCTCGTCCTTTTTTTGTTCTTGAACTGATCGCCATACGATCTTTTTTCTCCAGTAACCATCAAACAAAATAGCAATTTCAGCTCTTTTCTGCAGTTATGACTGTCTGCTTATTTAGTTTACGCTACACCTTTGCATCAAGACGAGTTTTAGATTACATCAAACCCATTATGATTAAACAGACATTTGTGTACAATTAGTGTACTCTAATAGGGTCATAGCAAACAATATATCCCGTCTTTTGACTACAAGCACACCCACCGCTCACAGGTGAAAATTAAATTTTCATCATTTCAGTTTCAATTTGTTGCTCACAGTGATGGCTATCAAAATCCGTTTCACATCAAAGGCTATGATTTGACACACTTTGACAGGTTGTCAAATTATCTGTTTTTGAAAACCCTAACTTTGAATAGCCCCAGAAGCAAAGCGATGAGTTATTGATTGAAGCTGAAATAGAGAATCAGTGTATCAGATTCGAAGTTTGTACATTATACTGACTAGGTATTACGCCCTTTTCCATTCCCTCCGTATTTGAACTTGAAAGTTGAAGAAAATTTTCAACAGCCATAATAAGATAAAAGTTTGCATGGTGAAAAATTGACTATTCTGAACACAAGAGCGGACACTACCTCCACTCAGGGATTCGACCCCTTGCCGATCCCAAGGGCCCCCTTTTGGTATTCTTTTGAGATATCCCTTTTTGGGTGATTGACCCTAAAATTTCTCTAAGGACGCCCTTGGCCAATATATACTGTGAGGGAGAGCGCGCACCAACAAAACGCAACTTTTTTGGTAAAAATTATAGAATCTGATCTACATTTTATTTTAAAATGATTAGGACAAAATATGGTGGTATTTTAATTGACTTTTTTCAATCTGAGGCTACACTGCGCAAAAACAAGCAGAAAAACAGCAAAGCCATCTCTGAAAATGCCAGATAATAGCACCAAAAAAATTTCTGGCGACTATTACGCTAGCAAAACTATAGACGTCGGACAAACTACAGATTTAAAAATATAAACATAGCCAACAGGAAGTTAAAAAAGTGACAATAAACAAGAATAACGTTAAAACTCAAAAATATTTCAATTCGACAGACTTTTTTCAGCTTATTTTAACAATCCAAATCACGGCTGAAAGTGCTTTAAAATGATACCAGACTTAAACACCTCCGTTCTCTGAGTTAGTGTGAATAACCTAGCAGAAATAACAGAACTTACGCCGTAGTTACTTCGAAAAAAAATTCTGACCAATCAAACCAATTAATGCACATTTTTAAGCAAATATAAACTATGCTGATTAATATGCGGAAAAAAGATTGAACCCTAACGAGAAGACGAAAAAAAGGAGCTCCAGAGTTCTAAAAAATACAATAGGACAAAGTAAATGCCTTTAATTAATAAAATTCGGCGACGTCTCGGATTCGAACCTACAGCCTACTCCGACCTAGCAATTACGAAACTCGCGCACTAACCACTCAGCCAGGTTCGCATAAACCATCACAAACACTAGCCACAAATAAAGCAGAGAACAGATTCTATGAATTTTTCAGATTATAGCAAAAAAGCACACAATTGAATACTTTTATTGAAAATTTTCATTTGCGGCTAGGTTAGAAAAAAACGAAGATTCGTACTAAAACACTAGCTGCTCGCTAGCGTAATTATGTCTAAATAAAAACTGTTAAAAATGGTCTAATTTCAGATTAATCGACATTTTATTCTACGAGGATATCAAAGAGTCTGGGGCAAGTTTTAATTAATTATCATCTGGGACACCAGCGGATTTAGGGGGGGGGGGGGGGGGGGGGACGTCTCTTCCCAAAAATTCGACCGCCAGCCGAACCAAGGGGTCCCCCTTTCTATTTACTAATTTTAAATACTAATTTTGCGCCAACATACACAATTTTTTAACCCCTTATGTGGCCTGTTTTTTCTTTATACTGAGTTAGGAGAGCTCAAAAAATCAATTTGGTCGATCTAAACCCCCCTCGAGAAAATCCTAGATCCGCCCTTGATCTGGGACAAGATGGGCTGGGACAATTTGACTTGGGAAAAAAAAATTACATGTAACCGCGAATTCCGTTGGATAAAATTCGTATTATGACACAACCCTCACGTGTGTAAAAAGGGAAATTATACAAACCGGAGTTGGTAATTGTACAACCAAAATAATGAACAAATTTCGAAAAGAATGTGTATTCAAACGAAATGCGCTCAAAACATGCCTGTTGTTTAAAGGGTCCGTTGGAAATCCAATGCCAGGCCTGAGGAGAGTTCTCTCTGCGGCAGAACCACGCCCAATCAACAAGGATGCGCCCAAAATCGTTCAAACCTCTGCACGGAGTTGTCAATCAGGGCGACGTGTTTTACCAAAGGAAGCAGTTAAACCTGGCTACAACACTGCTAAACCTGGCTACAACAACAATAACAACAACAACAGGAGATTGGTCCAGAGAACAAAAAACGAACTGGAAAAAGTGCTGCACCCGATTATAATACATGTAACCCAGCAAGTGTAAACACGCTAAATGGAAGACCAAGAACCAGCTCGAATACTGGTAAAGAACTATCCAATTAGGATCGTGCTACGGTCATAAAATAGTACCGAAACTCAAACAGCAAAAAACACTAATCATTATTCAAAATCAAATTCAATTACCACACAAGGTACATGAAACTTGTGTATAATGATGCAGTTTCACAGCTTAGAAGAATCTTTCACGCCTTAAGGCATATTTATTTCTCTGCCTTTTTGTTCAATACTTAAATTGGGGCAAAGAAAAATTCCAGTTTCATAATTGCGTACATCAGTCTTCTAATTAGAAAATGCAACTTGACTTTTTGGCGAGTCGCCAATTGTCACGCATTGAAAAGCTCTGCTGGGGTAAACAGTAAACATCGCAATGCCATCACAAAAAAACTGTTTGTCATTGATAATTTAAATTTAACAATTGGTTGTTTTTTACATTTGTACAACTTACAGATAATTAGAGTATTTTGCTAATCTACGTAAACATACTAACCAGATAAACCGAAGAATATTTAAGCATTCAGCAACTGCTTCAAATGCTTATTAAGCTCAATTTCTTTGTTCAGTCTATTGTTTCTTTCGTTGACGAAAGCCGAGTACTCTTTTTCAAACTGACTCAATTTGCTCTCCGATTCAGCTGCTCGTTTCCGCAAGTCCTGCACGAGCAAGTCTTTGTCAACGCGCATGGCTTCCCGTTCAAAGCGACTTGTAGCATCATTCAACTCTTTTTCAACCGATGCTAGCTTTTCCGTAACCCGCTTTGCTTCAGCCGTTTTTTCCTCGACTAGTACGCCTCTGTCACGAGCTAGCTCCATGTACTTATCTTTGTCTCGTTTCAGATCAGAATGAGCACGAGATGACATAGTTTTCTCTTCTTTGAGTTCATCGGTTATCCTGGCAACCTCTTTTAGAGATCCTACAAACAAGTAAAATTATCGAAAGATTTTAAACTTGAAATAGAATGTATCCATGTTTGGTATGTTTTAGAGCAGGGCATTTCAAAACAGATTTTAAAAAAACACTTTTAAAACAGTATCATTTTCGGCTGTAATTTTATACAGAAGGAAACTGCCAGAAATGCGCTTGCTCTCAATTAACAATCACTTGAATCAGCAAATCACCAATTAATTTTACTCTCGCGCACAGAAAGATATTTCTCGTCATAATGGGGGTCACGCTAATTCAAAAATGAGAAATCTCCCTGAGCCAGAAAAATCCACAAACTGTTTTTTGTACTCTTCTTGTATAAATGTTTCATTGAACTTAAAACTCGCTTGCTAATTGATAGAGAAACAAATATGAAAAAGGAACCATTGATTTGACTGTTCTGACCTATTTTCTTGAAAAATACTTTTTTAAAACTTTTGCACCCTGTCCGTATCTAAAAAACTCAACCTATTTACACAGCTCGCCATATTTGAAAAAATATATATGTTTCTTGACACACTTGATTTCCTAGAACATATCCAACAGACAAATGAAAAGAACCACGAACGCAAGGAAAAAAATAACATTCGAATTTCAAAGAAAAAATATGCCCCTAAAGGTGGTTGAACTTCAAAAACAATTTATTATTGACATTTTTTTGATAAAAACAACCGACTTTGAGAAAACTGATCAAAAGGTAAACTTTTGATTCCGCTGAAAAAACTGATAATTAAAATCCACTTCCGAAACTAGAGGTCAATCACGTTTTTCATGACCTTTAAACTTTTCAATAGTGGAGTTTGACCTTCGTTCAGCAAAGGAAATGAAGTGAACTTAAAAAAAATCAAAATTCAAACAGCGACAAATTCTTATATAAGATTATTCGAAAAAAGCTACGAAATGCCGGAAAAACTAGATCTATCAAAAAATAAAGCCAGTTTTCAAATAAAAAAACATGCCCAGACAATGGAAAAAGAAATAAGCATATAAGTATCGGAAGAAAATTTACCAAACGGTAACAAAGCCGAAAAATACACACGTCGAAAGACGCAATATGCGTTTTTTTTCGCGCATCGTAATACGCAATATAGCCATTAAACCTATCTAATATAGGCCAATACCTATTAAGCCAAAAAGAGGAAAAAAATCAAAAAAGCCAAAAAATTATTGTCATGGAAAACTTGAACTAGGCTTTCTATTAAGATTTTGGCTCTTTTTCCTTTCCCCCCCCCACCTGCAAATTTTAAGATGTAAATTTGTTGACCAGATTGTCCGATTGTTATGAATTTACATACAGACCAATACGGCCACGACAAACATATTTGGTCTTCATACTCAACCTCGTAAAACCACTCGTTACACAAATAAGTTGAAACTGGCGCGAGGTGGGGGGGGGGGGGGGGGGGAGGAAAAAGAGCCAAGATTTTTAGCATTTTGTGCGATCCAAAAGTGAGCATAAAAATTTTGTTTTCCTTGCAACAAATCAAAATTAGGTCACTGAGCCGACAAAAATAGGTCGAAATCATTTGAGCAAAATAAAATTTTTCAGCAAAAAAAAAGAAAACATAAAAAGTCAAGGTTAGTAAAATTACAAACATCAGAAGTAAATCAGAATACAAAAAGCAACTATAATGTAAAAAAACTAAATATTTCCGTTTGAAAAAAAAAAACAGGTCCTGTCAGATTCGAACCCACGTTCTTTGCCACCCCAGGCGTATTCGTTACCTCCAGACCAAATTTGCCAGTGGCACAAAGACGAAATTAAAATAATTAGGAGCTGAACCGAACTTTACGTAACTTTCCATTTCCAATAGTGACAATTCTGTGCCTAAACACATTTACGGGACAAAGTCTAGTACCCGGTTGCATAACCCTTGCACATGGCAAGGTTAATTATTGTTTTTCAAGCTTCTTGTTTTACCTATCGATATCACCGCATGCCGATATAAGACGTGCCAAGAAAGAATTATACGCCCTCAATATACCCATTCATGTTAAAATTTCGTCCAGCTGAATTCTTCAAAATCAGATTTAAAATTCTTTACCATCCAGAGCTTTGTTGAGGGATGTCAGCTGTCGCTCAAATGACTCCTTTTCAGATTTCCAATTGTTTCGGCTTTCTATAAACTCCGCGTCAGTTTTCCTAAAATCATACTTATATCAACCATGCTTCAGCAATGGCGCTTTTTGTCAAATACTCCTTTTAAACTTTTTGCGAAATGAACACGAGTTTCGAGGTTTTGGAAATTTTGGAATCTTACACATAAAATTAATTAAGCATACCTTTTATCATGACTGACTGCCTGTAACTCCTTTTGCAACTGTTCGATGGTTTGATTTAATGTTTTAACAGCTTTAGCTTTTTCTGCAGACCGATTTCCCTGAAGAAACCGATTTTCTTCCAAGATACTTTCATTCTTCATACGTAACTTTTCATTCTGTTGTTTGTATTCGTCTTTTATTTGAATCATCTCATGGTGATTTGAGGCTGAATAAAAAAAAACAAGTTAACAAACCCATCGATTCTAATGTAAATTATACATGCAAAAGAATAAGTACCCAAAACATCAAACTTCTCTTCAAGTAGTCTAAACTTCAACTTATCAGCTTCAACCTGCTCTTCGTATTCATTGATTGTATGCTGAAGACCGTCAACAAGATCTTCGAACACTTTCCGACGTTTATATTCATCATCTGCCCTTGTCTTTAAAATCATGATTAAATTACTCTGCTCATCAATACGAGATTTCAGGAGTCCAACTTCCGTTTTATCAGATGCAGGTAAGTTTTTGCAATGCTTAAGGGCATTTCTCACATTCTCGTCCATATTGGTAACTAGCGAAGTTCCATAGAAACTGAAATTTTGAAAGGACTTGTTGCAAAACACATACCTCTACATTAGAGAAGTGCTTTCATCAATTGCATGTGATTCGATGGCATTGCGTCGCAGTTGGTTGCCCGCCAATTTAAACAAACTTAAAATTGCTTTCAATCAGCCCAAAATTGTGTCACAACCAGGGATGTTAAAAATTGAAAGGACAATTCGAATCAATCTAACTAGGAATCTATTGAAAGAAGTCCTGAGTAAAACACATTTATAGCAACAATTCAAGACAACCAAACAACACAATTATAAGAAAGACAATTATTGCAACAATTCAAAACAACCAAATAATAACTTATCAGCGAATATTACAGATTCTATAATTGCCTTTAAATTAAATTTGTGATAATTTTTTCTTCATCCATAAAAATCCAACCCTATTATTGTGTGTTAGTTCAGTCCCCTTGTGTCCAGTCAAATTCCTTTTTTACCCTTGAACAGCGCCTTCGATGATTAGAAAGAACAACAAGGAGTGCACAAACAAATAATGCTTAAAATCTTCAGGACTTTTAAATTGGATTAAATGTGCTTGTTGTTCTAATAACTGGTTTCATTTCAACTGTGTAAACATAACACTTAGCTACTCTAAGGTGATCCAATGGTTTCAATGTTCTATGTCTGCTCAAGAGAGTACCTGAGGACTCGCTTTATCCCTTGGCATAGAGTCTCTCGGATAAAATGAATGATAATTTCTACAATGTAGGAAATGTTACTTATTGTCTGTAACATTCGTCTACTGCAGTCACACATGAGGCTTAAGAAAAATAGGCCCTATAACCACTGGCTCAAGGGTCAGGGACACCATCTCTTGTGTTTTTCTACCTCAAGAACGGTCGGAGCCAGTTCGGTTCGTTTGTGACATGAGACTACTACCCGTTACAGCTTAAAGGCTACTACTAAAATATCCCCCCACTCTAGAATTAGAAACGTCCCCATACTTAGGTCTTGTAACATTCGTCTACTGCAGTCACACATGAGGCTTAAGAAAAATAGGCCCTATAACCACTGGCTCAAGGGTCAGGGACACTATCTCTTGTGTTTTCCCACCTCAAGAACGGTCGGAGCCAGTTCGGTTCGCTTGTGACATGAGACTACGACCCGTTACAGCTTAAAGGCTACTACTAAAATATCCCCCCACTCTAGAATTAGAAACGTCCCCATACTTAGGTCTCTAGATACCCAAAATACATGAACGCCGTTAAAAACCGGGTTGGAACAATCCGTTAGGTTACTTTTTATTAGACAGTGTGACTTTGATCCATTTCAGATGGATCAACCTAAAACTCGCCTTACCTCAACATAACAATCATAAAACACACTCTAGAATTTAAATTCGTACTCACATATCAGCGCTCTCAAGAGTTGGGAAAATAATCCAGTCAGTAACTAACTCAAGAAATAAATAACTAAGAGAAGTTTAATGTTTTATAGTTTGGACAGCAAGGATAAGTTCATGCTCTAGAATTTGAGTTCTCTTGGACCGTTGGGACACTCCAGTTGTCCGCCTTTCCGCTGAAGGTTCACTCTGGTCCAACTTTAGTAATCGCTCTCTCGGGGATACTCTGTCTTCTATTTCAAGTAGGACAGCTCTACTCTCGTTCACTATGATGGAAATTGCGAATAGCAATTTCCCACTCGTTTTTAATTGACAACTTCCCCGCAATTGTTCTAAAATTGCTCTGATTTCTTTTTCTGATTTTCAGTTATCGCGAGAAAATCGTGCATGACATGTTCCTTTCGAAATTTTGAAAAATTAAATTTCACTTCAAAATCAAGTATTTTCTGCTCTTCTCAAGGTCAAACTTCCAAATATGACCGACTGGCACATACTCCCCGGACTCGAGATCGATGTCCTCATCGCGCGCTGTCTTCTGCCAGTGAGTCCCAGAAAAACCGAGTGTTGCTCAAGATACAGTGCCAGTGGTCATTTACAGAAGTTTGCAGCAGATTCAAGATTATCTACACCCCAAAATTCACGACCATTTAAAATTTTCACACTATTGCTAAACAGCAATCAAAATCTGCATTTACCTGCACCTTTGAATTTTCGCTTTTCAAGCCAATCATTTAAAAATCTCTTTTGTCCTATTCAATCAGGAAATTGTCATGCAGCATTTTGATCTACATAATAGATATAGTATATTAGTAACAATATTTACTTTGTTAAAATTTCTTTTTCGTGAATCCAATTTTCACTCGGATTCACACTCAAGCCCCCCTTCCCTCTCAAGACTCAAGATCCATCCGATTTGCCCATTCATCTCGTGCTCTTCGCCTTGGAGGTACTGCCTCCTGAAGTGCTAGATGCGGCAAACTGTCTCAACAGTTCCTCTTCATCATCGGAACTAATCACAATCTCCTCCCAAGCCTTCAGCTGTTCATAGGATCGCATCCATTCTCTCTGCTCCTGCAATCTCTTTGCTTGGTTGGGTAGTGCCTTCACCCTAGCTTCTCGGTTCAAGCAAAAGGAGTTGTGCAGGCTCAAGCTCACGTTCTTCGCCAGGTCTTCCTCTAGTATCGACTCCCTCGCTTTGGTGTTGTCTCTAGACATCTTACCCACTCTCTTCCATCCCGTCGTGATCGCATTACGATGGGTTAGCAGGGGTCTCTTGAAAGCTTCCGGCCCAATCTCGGCCTGGAACTGTCGATACTCCTTTTGATGTTTTCTCATGTGATCTTTCGTTGCCCTGTACAACCAAGACGTCAGTGTCGCCCGAAACCATGGAAAGTACCTCGAGCGACTCCATACGTGCCTGACTTCCGTTGGTATGGCGAATACTTTGCACGCAGTCTCAAACAACTCAAGTCTCCTGCTGTAGTCTATCGCGTATATTGACTCAGCCGTTGGCGTCGTCGCCTCCCGATATTTCGTTATATTCTCTTCTATCCATCTCAGAGCTAACATCGTACTCACTACTAAGAGCGTCACCTTCTGCCGGTGATCCGGTAGTCCGATCGACCGAATCTCTTCCACATCCCACACCAGGCAAAGGTTCTTGTGATCTGGATACCACACCGTTTGTGCCAAACAGTGGCATGGGCATTCCCCATGAGAGATCTCAATGCTCCTGAGATTACGCTCCCCTGAGGCTTCCAAGAGAGGCTCAAGCTCCATCATTTTCTCGTGCATCGTGTCGTTGTCTTCCAGGTTCGGAGTACTTCCCACAGGTTTCCCGATCACGTTTTGTCTCTCGTGATCGCTTGTGTTTTCTCTTTCCAACTTCAGAAGATCTTCTCCCCAGATTTCGCTTAAGTCATCTCTCAATTCTTTTGGTACTGTCCCTTTGATTTTTCTCAACAACTTGTGCGAGTGATGCGACATCCGAGCCAACCTCACGCACTTGGGCACTGAGAAGGCCTTGTCCACCAGTATTCTCTGGCTGGACACTTCCACCATCGCCATGTGTAGCGGGTAGTGACTTCCGCACAAGTTGGCCATCATTGACCCTATCAGCGATTTCGCGTTCAATGGCAAGCCATAAGCTTCGCTCAGGGGAAATCCCATTTCCGCCTCAAGACCAACTTTCCAGCTCCGGATGTGTTTTTGAGTCACCTGCAACACCCCGGGCCATGATTCCACGCTCAACGCCGTCACTAAATGATGCTCAGACTCCAGTCTCTCCAGTGCCTGCAGACCACACATTCTCTAGAAGAATCCGAGAGCTGTCGCTATATTCACCGTGGTTCTCGCGTAACATTCCGCTATTATTTGCACTTCACTTTTCTCCCTTTCTGTGATGTCTTCGAACCAAGTGACCAGGTCTTCTTTTTGAAACGACAGTATCCTGACGCATGACCGTCCATCGCAGATGTGCTCTCCGTTCCCACACGTCGAATCCAGACAGCTACCCGGCTCCAATTTCTTTGCTGACCCGGGGTCGCTCGTCCTTTCGCTTGGCTCTTGCATCTGGGGCGTGATTAGCTTATGCAGCACACTTAACTTCGCCAGATCTTCATCTTCCGTTGGTGCTAACCTCACTCGCTCGGTGGTTTCCTCGATTAGACTCGCATGGGGATGTGGACACCAGGAGGGTCTTAGTAGCTTCCATATCACTCCCAAGTTCGTGGTTAACAAGCCATTTCCACCGCCCATGTTTACTTCAACTCTCTTGTTTGAGCGCGGCATGCTTATCACCTCTGGTGTTTTCTCAAGAATCAGGCCCAGGCTCGGCCCCTCTTTCTCCACCGCGTCTATCTCCATTATTCTTTCTGTCCAAAACTTCAGCAGCTCCGCTACCTCATGGTTTCTGTGGGCTCCTCCAGCTTCCGAGTCTAAGAAGGGATTGTAGGCTATTCCCATCACTCCAGACACATATTGGTATTCCCCCTTCTCACTGAGTCTCGAGTACTGTTCTGACGAGGCCAGGTTACGGTGAACATCATGTTCTTCCTCGAACTTCTTATTAGAGAACCTCCGTACCTCGTCCAGCTTTCGATGGTTCTCTAAGGATAGTCTGGAACCATCTTCTTTCTCTTAAAATTCAATTGTCATGCCAATCACATCTTAAGATCCTTTTACCTGCGCCGCACCCCAGTACCTAACTCAAGACTCCTCCCTGACACCCGACCTGATACCTCCATGTACCCGACTCAGGCGATGCTCAAGTAGTACTTCTTGTGAAGATGCACCATTATCTCTGTTTCTGCAAAGACCACATGTAGGATAGCGTACAATTCCCTCGAGCTCAGTTTGCCCCTGTTTGGGTCGTACACCGGCATCGAGACCTCCACTATTCCTCTTTCAATCATGAAGTCACGTAGTCTTGTCAGTGCCAATATCACGTGTTCGGGATCAATTGTGTTTCTGTCGTTGACTCTCGTTACTAGGAAGCAGAGGTATTTGCCCGGGACTTGTGCCACTGACGGTGGAAGCGCTGCTATGCCTCCCAGTCCTGGCCTCTGTCTGAACAGAAACTCTACGTTCTGGTACTCTCTTTTGAAGTCAGCCTCCAATCTTGATTTGAAACTCATAT